CAGCTGGCTCCTCACACTCCGGTGCCTGCCCAAATGTCACTTCTTCAGAGAGGCTACCTGGATCCTCCCACACACAATGCACGCCTAAGATAACTCCAGTCCCCCCGTCCCTCTGCGGCACAGCTCTGGTTTATTTCCTTCAACACACTCAAATGATCCTACTCAAACGATCTCATTACTACTTAGCAGTAGTCTGTCTCCCCCACTAGAATGACAGGACTCTGAGAACAAGGGCCACATCTGTCTTGCTCACCATCATCCCCTCGCATCCAGGGAAGTGTCTGCTACGTAATGCGTTTACTAAGTATCTGGTGAATGAAAGAATGACTGAATGGACAAGCTTTGGGGGACGATGGGGTTTGCAAGCTGTCAGACGGTGCAGTGCATTCACAGAGACCTGTGCTCTTGTCCTGGCCCCACTTTCCTCTCTTGGCCTCAGTTTCCACATCTGTAACATGGCCCCGATGGTTCAGTGGGATCAGGCCCCCCCTAATGAGGCCCTCCCGGCGACGTCAATTGTAGCGTTTTGCTTTGGTTTTGTCTCCATGGCACCCAACTGAGGTAGGTTGGTCCATGTTCCTGTCACCACCGGATAAATAAATTTCTTCCCACCGAGATCCTGATTATTTTGTAATTTTGTCTGGTCTATTTTTGTTTTGTTTTGTTTTGTTTTCAAAAACTTCCCTGTTTCCATTTCCCTCTGCACTATGCTGGGTACACAGTAGGTACTCCCTGGTAATACTCCCTAGGGTGTGGTTCCCAAATATTAGTCAGATTAGAATGGGCTGGGGGGGCTTGGTTAGAAAGTCTTAACCTACAAACAGACTTGATTCACTAGATCCAAGGTGATGTGATAGACTGAAAACTGGAGCCTGAAGATATCCAGGTTCTAATCCCGGGAAACTGTGACCTCAATATTGCAGAAGGAACTTTGTAGATGTGATTTTAATTGAGGGTCTTGAGGGGTGCCTGAGTGGCTCTGTTGATTAAGCGTCCGACTTCGGGTCAGGTCGTGATCTCGCGGTCCGTGGGTTTGAGCCCCGCGTCGGGCTCTGTGCTGACAGCTGGGAGCCTGGAGCCTGCTTCGGATTCTGTGTCTCCCTCTCTCTCTCTGTCCCTTCCCCAGCTCACACACGGTCTCTTTCTCAAAAATAAATAAACATTAACAAAATTTTAAGCTGAGAGTCTTGAAATGAGAGGTGTTTCTGGGTGGCTGTGTCCTAAATGCAATCACAAGTGTCCTTGTAAGAGTGAGACCTGTGACCATGAAGAAGGCTATGTGACCATGGAAGCAAGAGGCTACGATGCTGCCTTTGAAGATGGAGGAAGGGGCCACAAGCCAAAGAATGCAAAGAACGTTTCTAGAAGCTGCAAAAGACAAGGAAACGTTCTACTCCAGAGCCTCCAGAAAGGAGAACAGCCCTTCACTTTAGAGACCCACTCTGGATTTCCAATCTCAGAACTGCAGAACAATAAGTGTGTGTTGTTTTAAAAATGCCTATTTGATTTTGAGAGAGAGAGAAGGAAAGAGAGAGGAGCAGAGACAGAGGGAGAGAGAAAATCCCAAGCAGACTCCAGGCTCAGCACAGAGTCCAACGTGGGGCTCGAACTCACAAACTGAGATCATGACCTCAGCCGAAATCAAGAGTAGGATGCTTAACCCACTGAGCCACCCAGGCATCCCTAAACGCGTGTCATTTTAAGCCACCAAGTATGTGCTAATCACAATGTCCCTGGGAAACTAATACAGGTGTAGCACCCAGGCCTCTGCATTTAAAAGACCTTCTTCCCTTTGCTGGCTCTGACGCAGGGGACCCGGGGGGACCATACTTCCAGAAGCCCTGCTCCAGAGCTGTTCCAGGCTGCTTCTCAAACCAGCCCATCCCCCGAGAACCAAAGCATTTTGTCAGAGTCGGAGGGACCCTGCCACGAGCGTCGATGTCTACCTCCTCATTAGCAGATGGGGACACTGAGGCCCAGAGAACGCTGCAGCAAGGCAGAACGATGGGAGGTGTCTTCATTCAACTCTGTCGGCTTTCAAATTCCATTTGGAGTTTTTAAAATGAGCGATGGCGCAGACTGCCAATAGCTTTAGCAATAATCTCATAATGACCCAATCGTGAAACGATTTAGCAATCCTGCGGCTAATTGTGTTTGTGGGTATAGCAATTGGGTAACTAGTTGGTTATTACTCATTCCCCAAGAGCCATACACATCGCATTACAAGGAAGCTAATCTTAGAAATACTTGTTAACTTCGATGATAATTACTAAGTAATTGGCTAGAACACGCCATTGTGAATTTAGCCGGAATATGCCAGGTAATTATCTGGTCTTATGTTCTCTGTAAAATAAATCCAGGGTCCAAAAATTGTTCCAGTTGGTTGGCTATTGTCCAACCATCAACCTCCGCCAGCCAATTATGCGGATGCAGGTGATTAACCCAATTACTCGAATACCAGGTTTCACACTGAACGTTCAGAGAAGAGACCTGATGGTCAACAAGTGGACGGTGCTAAATGGGAGAGAGGGATGCACAGGGCCCCTCCCTAAGATAAATATGTAATGACACAATAATATGGTATAAATGCCACTCGGGGGCTCATCTGGCTTCTTCACGCAAAATACCAAAACACTTCAGAGACCAATTACATGTCCCAAAGCTGCAGAGTCTTTATCACGGTGCCAGGAAAAGGCTGCGCTATTTGCGAAACCTGCAGGCAGTTACGCGCTCGGGGGAGGGGGGGGAGGGGGGGCACAGAGTTTGTACATAATAGAAAAGGGCCAGAAACGCAGCTGGCTTATGGGATGAGTGACACATTTTCATAATGACCACTCGTTCTTCAAGGATGGCTGCTAACTGAATCTGTCCACTTCCAATTAGCCAGCCCTTGGGAAAGGGGTGAGGGAGGCTCGGGGAACTGGGATCCACCAATAACACCAAGCAAGTCAGAGGGCGGGAGGCGACAGGTTCTCAGAAGAGCCAGGTAAGGAGAGGAGACAGTGGATTTCAAATTTTTCGTTTGGGGACGTAAAAAAGAGGAGTTAACAAGCCAGAAGGTGAGGAGCTGACCAGAGAGAAATTTGGGGTGATGGACTGGTGGGAGCAGTGGGGCAGACGGCCAGCGGCATGCACCCCAAGTAAAGGGCTCTGCACGAGAATGATACGTTCTAGATCACAGAGGAGGAAAGGAGTGGTGGCAGGTTTTAGAAGTGGCCACAAACTGTCCCCCTCCCTGCATCTACGTCCCTGTAACGTGACATTGCAAATCCTCCCGTGCAGAGGCAGAGTCTGTTTCTTCGTGCTGGGAATCTAGGTTGACCACGCAACTTGGTTTGGCCAATGTGCGTCAGCCAATGCAACACAGATAGAGGAGGGAAAGGCCCTTGCCCATCAGGGCCTGACCTCTTCCTTCACTTGGAACCCTGAGACCACGATGGGAATGAGCCCAAGCTAAGCTGTTGGGGGATAAGAGACCATGAGGAAGAGAATCGGGGCATGCCGGCTGATAACCTGTCAACCTGCAGACATGTGAATGAGGCCATCCAAGAAGGACCAGCCCCCTGTCTGACCTGCCTGCTGACCACAGACATATCCAAGAGCCCAGCTACTGGGCCTGGCTCAGCACAGAACTGTCCATAGAAGAGAGGAAAACTCTGAGTGTTGGGGGTAATTTGTTACTCAGCAAAAGCTTACTGATGCACTCACTTCATGGGAACAGCTCAGCCCCTAAATCTGATCTGAGCTGGTTATTTGAGAGCCTCTTCTGTCCTTTTTAGAGTGGAGGACGACCATTTTTACCCTGGTCTAAGGACTGAAGAGCCATCTCCTGAAATCCAATCCTTTGAAAACATTTACCATCCAACACATGGGTTCCAGTCAATCCATCATCTGCATAACCAATGATGACAGACAATAGCCCATTTTCTTCTGACCACTGAGGTCTTATAAATGGACTCAAGGATGCTCTGTATCACAAGGGAACAGACCCAAAACGCACCAGCTCTTCCCTGAGCTCACAGCTCCTGCTACGCACCTGCCGAGAGGAGAGGCTTGCGTGTTTGAGATCTTATCGCTTGAGCTGAGAATGGGAAGCAGACAGCTCCTAAGTGACTCCTGGCATCACAGGCCAGTCCTGATGCAACGGGAGAACGGCAGCCAGACGTGACACACACACCAAAGGATAGTTTCACAACTGTTCGACTGAAACCAAAGCTATTTTTTTTTTTTCCAATGCCCCATGTCACTGGGTGAGGTTAGAGAGCAAGTTCAGGAAAGCTGATATCATTTGACGTTTTCTTAATGTCCGTTCTCTGTTAATTACCCCTTCTGTGCAGGTATCGACCGCAGACCCTGGACATTTAAGATAGCAATGGTAAAGCTCTCCACATGTCATCTGCTGCTTTAACGAAAGCCAGAGAAACAGCTGTCACAATCTTAGTCCAGAATCGGCACAGCAGGGACCGAGGGCCAAATCCAGCTTTTATAAGTAAAGTTTTATTGGCGCCCGGCCACGTACATCCACTTACGTCTTGTCTGGGGCTCCTTTCCCACCACGGTGGCAGAGTGGAGCAGTTGCTACAGAAACGGTCTGGCCCATAAAGCCACAACTATTCTCTCCTGGGCCCTTTACAGAAAAAGCCTGCCGACTTCCGATTTAGCCCGATCCGTTCAATTTACACGTGGAGACAGTGAGTCTCGGCGGTATCGTTTCACAAACACTCGGGGCACGGCGGGGGTGGAGGGGAGGGATCTAGAACCAACTTTCCTAACTTCCATTCAGTGCTCTCCCCGTGGCCCTGCTCTGCCAAAGAGTTTTACCATCAAAAGCACTTCCTGGACTCTCAAGTCTTAGAACCACACAATTATGAATCGGTAGAGCTGGAGACGCTCCATTCACCGGAACGACGAGTCAACGGGAAACCCCCACTTCTCAACTCTGCCAGAGGCACAGCTCTGGGGACGGACCCACGGGTGGGGATCCCAGGGGCAGGACTGACCTGGTGATGATGGCCAGGTGGGGTGGGCTCATGCAGGCACCCATGAAGAGCACCACGTTCTCATGCCGCGTCTGCCTGTAGGCCATCACCTCCCGCTTGAAGGCCTTGAGCTGTTCCTCATTATCCCTCTCGATGTCGATCAGCCGGATGGCCACCTCGCCATGCCAGCGGCCGTGATACACCTGCCCGAAGCGGCCCTTTCCAATGAGCTCGCCAATCTCCAGCTGCTCAAAAGGGATGTCCCACTCCTGCAGGAAGATGCTGGTCTGGCTGGCCTTGCGTGGGAAGCTCCGGGCTGAGAGCAGGGACAGGTTCATCTCCTCAAAATCGTCCTCTGACTCCTCGGCCTCGTCGTGGCCCTCTTCATTCTGTGGGCGGAAAGGGGAGGGCGGTCAGAGTGGCTCCTGACGCTGCCCCGCCTTCCCACGAGGTCCCACTGGGTCCCACTGGGACATGTCTCTATGTGCATTTTCGGCTGGTGTGCACACAGACCTATTAGTGCAGGCCACTCTCGTCTAGAATCGTATACAATGAAGGGGCTGAAAGGGAGATCGTGGTAATCCCGCGCTCCTGTGCTAAGGGGGACACTGAGGTTCATGGAAGAGAAATGCTAGGGGGCCACCCATTCCGGTTTGCTGGGACTTCCCTGGTCTGGGCACTGAAAGTCCCCTTGGTGGGGGCACCTGACAGGCTCCGTCAGTACAGCATGTGATTCTTGATCTCAAGGTTGTAAGCTGGAGCCCCACACTGGGTGCAGAGATTACTTAAAGTCCCCTTGGGAAGTCCTTCAGTCCCAGCAAACAGAGTTGACTGGTCACCCTGGGAGATGCCCGGCTCTCTATCACACAGCCAGGCAGAGCTAGGGTTAAACCTCAGGTGTCTCAACTCCTAATATCCAACGCCCTCCTATTCTACCGTGATGTTTTGGCTTGTCTCCTTAACGTGTGTGTGATAAAGGCAACAGGCTAAACCACGTGTGCCTCAGCTGTCTGCACACAACATGTGACGATCCTCAATGGAGAGCGCCTTTTTTATTTCCCCCAGGGAATTTGGGATGGATGAGTCAGAAAAAGGGAGAGGTCACAGCTACTCTGCACAGGCCAGACACCTGGGCTTCCTATGCAGCCGCAAGGGCAGAGAGGCTGGCCGATAGGATGGGCTTAGCAATCAGAAGAAATGAGTGGAAATCTGGCTTCTGTGTGACTTTGGGCAAGCCACGGGACTTCTCTGAGACTTCCTTTCTCCCCCGTCATAAAGCGGAGCTGATAAAATCTGCCCCTGGGGATGGTGTGAGGTTTCCAATGACACGAAAGGCTGTTAAGTTCCTTGCACAGACCTGACCACCTGTATGCGACAGCGACTGGGCTTCCTGGGAAAATGCAGATTCCTGGGCCCCACCCAGAGCTGCTCAATCAGAAAGCAGCAGGCCAGGGCCAGAAATTCGCATTTTTATCCAGCACACCCACGGGGGCCCCCCGGACACTTAGGCGTGAGCACCACGATCATTAGCCGCTCAAGGGCCAGGGACCCACCTTCCCAGCATGGGGGCTGGGAGTGTCCTGCCCCACGGCTTCTTTAGCTCCAGTGAGGGAGCAGCAGGCACCCCAGCCAGTGGGGATTCCCAGAGGCTTGGGGGCTGATTAAGCAGCCTGAGGCAGTGGCCCTTTGGCTGGCCGCTGGTCTTCCTGAGCCCAAACCTGAGCAAACTTGCCCCTCGCGGCCCACTCAGGAGAAACAACACAGGAAACACTGGCTTCCCCAGGGATAATTTTTCAACGACCACAACACCTGCCGAAAGGACCTGGTTTTCTCTGGAAACCCCGGCTCTATTCCTTTCAGTTCGGGGCACACCCGCAGGGCTGAGGAGTCCATGGTTCTTACCCAGGACACTTCGTTTATTCCTCCAGAAGTTCTGGCGGATGAGAAGAAGCCCCAGACCATTCCCAAAAGCCTGCCAGGCTCGGTGTCCCCAGGACTCTGCCTCCTCCCACGTGTTCTTTGGAAGGCAGTGGGGCACATCCCCCTTGGTACTCACCTGGCCCTAGACCGATTTTTCCACTAAGAATGTAAATCTCTTGCCAACGTCTGCACGGCTAGCTTTTCCATGATGCACACCGTATAACGGCCTATTAGGCTTGGTGCCGGGAGGGGCCCCCGCTTGTTAGAACGTCCATCAAAAACAGGGCCACCCCACCGCCCGCTGCCCCAAGCCCTCCGCGTCATTAAAGACATCCATCGGCTCTGCCAAGCGCTGGGCAACCCCAGGGAAACAGGTGCATCACTCTCTCCAAATCTCACCTCTGAGGTTGGCTCCAGTTCAATTTGAAGTAATGGATTTCCTTCCAAGCTTTAAAGAAAAGAAAAATAGATGTGACCCTCGCGTGAAAAGGTAGGTCTGTGTATTGTTTAGCCGCGTATCAAGAGTCCTTGAACGAGAAGCCCTGGCCATCAAGCCTTCATCTCAAAATCCACTTCAACACTTGTGTCGAAACTAATCCATAACCTCACCATGAAGAAGCGATGACAAGGACACTGTTTTCAACAGACTTTCTGGGCTGCTCAGGGCTCATTTTTCTTTCTTGCTTTGGTTTCCACTAATCTAGCAGCTTCCTTATAAACTGGCCTAATGCCACGGGTGGAAGAATCCTCAGAACTCTGGGTGTGTGCTAGGAAAGAATGAACGAGACCTCTAACGTTCACTCGGGTTCAGAATCTTCTGGAAGAACCTTAGCGTTCGGGATTACAGGTACCCCCCCCCCCCCGCCCCCTGCTTTTTGAAAGTCGGCGCCATGCCGCTTTGCTTTTATGAAAGATCTACACTGGTGTCTGTTTTGCTGACCAAAAGAAATTCCAAGACCTTTGCTTTTGTGGAAAAGGGTGACAAGCGAAAGTTGCCTTCAGCTTTTGCTTTGCCGCGAGCCATTACGGAGGCAGCGGGCACCCTGAGCAGTGTGAGTGATGCCTCCAAGCTCCTTCCCTGGGCACTACCCTCAGCATCTCAGCCTCAAGCCTCCACACCTTTGAGCAGTATCCATGAGCATCTGTGCTTTATCTCGATTTATTTTGTGCATCCGTTAGCAAGATGCGTCCTAAGGTATCAGAGAAGCCTAAGGGAGAAAGTTCTCAGGTCTGGGGACACCCGCCAATTTTTGCATTATAAATGAATGATAATCGCGTCTTCGCATGACACCATGTTGGCTTATGAAAGGTTTTGTAGGAATGCTCTACTTTCGGATAGTGGGGGAAACCTGCATGTGTCAGGAACGGGGCAAGGCCCTCCGAGGGATACAGAGTCGAAACCTGCGTGGCTCCTGACTTTGGGGACTATTATGTTACTACCGAAGGGACGAAAGCAAGTACGGAGATATCGTGCAGGAAGGCTGAAAGTGACACGGGCCAAAAGTCAGGCATGAACTGAATAGACGGAGCATGATGGAAATTCCCCGGAGAGATTATGGGATGTGGTTTGAAAACTCGCAGTGTTTGAGTTGGCTGGATGTTGCCAATCACGGTGAACCGGGATGCGTGGAGTGAGAACGAACAAAACCGTATCTGGAAGGACTGGAAGACACAGGTGGGAGCACGCACGCGCGTATGCTTGGGTCCGTGCGCGAGTGTGATGCAGTCTTGAGCTCGTGAGCTGCAGCTGTTCTGAGCGTGGGCGCAGGCTGAGTGCAGGGCTGGGGAGGGATCAGTGTGTTTGCGTGTGTGAGTACTAAGTATAGATTGGGTACTGCGTGGGTATTATGGGATGTGCTCTGTGCAGGGGTTGTTCTGGGCACACGTGAGTTGGGTGTACCCCGTGGGTGATGTGGGGGGCTCACCGTGTGTTGACAGCTGGGTACGTACTGGGGTGTGAGGGGAGTGTTGGAGCACATGGCATGTGACGGGGACGTGACGGACAGTGTGTGTTAGAGGTGTTTCTGGGGGTGTGTTTTCGGAGTAGAGGAGGTGTATGTGTTTACGGAGTGCAGTGGGGAGACTGTAACTGGGCTGCTGAAGGCACAGAACCGGCGGCAGGAAGGAATCACAATGAACACCTCTGGAAGCTTAGCAGGGGCCCCTACCCACCCCCTCACTTGAGGGGCCACCGCTCTCCTAACCCTGAGACCCCAAGAGGCTGCTGACCCTGCAGACAGAGCCAACCCACTTCCGGGAGGGGCTCTTGGCCAGAGGGAGTCTGAGAGGCTGCAAGAACGAAAGGGGGAGAGAAGGGTGGGTCACAAAGTGCCCTCTGCCTTCCTATCAACCAATCATTTACGGCCCGGCCGGCCCCGGGAACATCTGCCGGGAACTTGGCATTTTGGGGAGATCCGGGTGGAACAAGGCAGCTGGAGTCCCTCCTCACCCAACAACAAACCAGGCAGCCTTCCTCTGCCTGCATCAAGGCGTGATTACAGTCACTGGGCGATTAAATTACTTCTTCCTGTGAAGTGTTAGTGGCCGTCACTCCATGCACTTTTAAGCAGACCGCAAGCAGCTACCGACGCCGTATTTCGCGGGCGCTCCCCGACTGCCAGTTAATAACCCGGAGTTCGTCTTGCACACATTGTGGAATTGGCTTATGTGCAGCAGAGGAACGACCCGGAGCTGGAAGTCAGCACCATCTCCCTGGCAAACTGCTGCCCCCTTGATTTCACGGATGTACCACCTGGGTCTTTAACAAAGTCCGTAACATGGGGCAGGAAGGGCGCAGCAGTTAGGGGGGAGGCAGAGGAACAGCCAAATGGGCAAAAGTGTGAGTTGGGAACCCGGTCGGGTCAAAATTAGGTCTCCAGCATGCCCTACGCTTGGGCCACCGGCCGAAGAAGTTAAGTCAAGGAAGGTGGTTTCACTGCGGCTGCACAAACAATACCCCACCTAGAAAGAGAGTGTGTGTCCCAAGGACGCCAAAGGTGCCACGTGCAGAGACATTCACTGCAGTGCTGTTTACAACAGTGAACTATGGGAAGACAGGAGATCTGGCAAGAGGGAAATGGTTAAGGCCATTGTTCTACATCGATAATAGTATTTTACAGCCATGGAGACCAAGGTCTATGAAGAGTCTGAGATCATATGAAAAATGCAATGCTATGGCTTTTTAAAGGGATAACAAAGCAGGCTGGAAAGGGCATATATCATGAGTCACAAGTATATAAAAACACAAGAGACAGAGCACACATCAAAATTCTAAGGGTGATATGATTATGAGTGATTAGTTTCCCTGGTTTTTTTTTTTTTTTTTTTTTTTTTTTTTTTACAGAACAGTCCACATTTCCCAAAATTAGTTTGTATTATTTTTATAATGGTATAAACCAGGGGCCAGAAAACTTGGTCTGTAAAGGGCCAGAGAGTAAATCTTTTAGACTTTGCAGGCCATATGGTCTCTGTTGGGAACGATTCAACTCCGCTGTTGTAGTCTGAGAGCCACCAGAGACAGTATGTCGTAAACAAATGGGCATGGTTGTGTTGCGATAAAACTTTATTTATAATTTTTTTAATGTTTATTTATTTCTGAGAGAGAGAGAGAGACAGAGTGTGAGTGAGGGAGGGGCAGAGAGAGAGGGAGACACAGAATCTGAAGCGGCTCCAGGCTCCGAGCTGTCAGCACAGAGCCCGACGCGGGGCTCAAATTCACCATGAGATCATGACCTGAGCCGAAGACAGACACTCAACCGACTGAGCCACCCAATAAAACCTTATTTATAAAAACAAGGGGCAAACAGGATTTGTCCCATAGACTGTAGTTTGCTGATCCCTGGTATCAGCCTAAATTATTCTTTTTAAAGGGAGGGACAATGACGTAGAATAACAGTTCTTTCATTAAGTTCTAGCTATTACAGAAAGTTGGCTTTCTGATCATAGAAAAGCCTGGGGACCCTGAGGAAACGGTCCAGCCCCTGGAAATCACACTTGACAAGCAGGGTCAGGGCACAAAGCACAGACGACCTGTTGGGCCTAGGCTGAGGGAGGCTGTCATCCTGTCCCTCTCCATGAGTCATTCCCGTGTGTCTCTCTCTCCCTCAGTATCCCGCCCCATCAATTCCAGGACCAGGAAGACAGAAGACAGTGACCCTGAGCAGACTGAAGACCCAGGACAGGAGAAGGAGGTCTCTGTTCCACTTACATTGGATTCGAGGTCACCGGATGCAGGATGACCTGGGGCGCCCGGGTCGGCGTCTCTGGCACTGGCGCTACATCTGAGAGGCAGACGTGAGAGTCAGAAATCCAACGTAGAGTCCACGGTCTCCCCCCAAAGACCTAACTGCTGGGAGAGGGGGCAGCTAGTAACTTCTCACCAGATCGTGGTGCCCCTGGGGCTGGCCAGTCCCCTCTGTCCCTTCCTCAATCACTTGCGCTTTTCCTGCTCGGAAGCACCAGTGTTCTAAGATGACATCCTGAACCAAATGCCCCGCTCTCGACTAGGGGGTTGCCAGATCTGCAAGCCTCTGACCCGAAGCTTCCGCTGGTCACCTCCAAATCACCCCCCAACTGCTGAGCTCTCTTTGGGATGCTGAGGCCACTGGGTTTCACGCCTCCCAGTGCCCAACTCACCTCGGGCCACCTCTCCCCTGCCACGTGGGCTCTGGAGCCCTCCTTACCCTGGCCTGTCCTTCTATCGCAGGCCACTTCCTCAGGCCTTGCCCTTGAGCCTTGGGATCTCCTTGGTACCACTGTGCCCTCGGGGCCTCTCAGTCTTTCCTTTTCCACCTCTATGTCCCACCATTATCCTGGGGTCTACTGGTCCCGCCGCCATCCTCTTTGAGCTTGCCCATCCCAACAACCTTCGCCTTCATCCATTCCAGCAACCCAGGCACCTCAGCAGGCTCGTTCAGAAGGGCCTGAGCGTGCACGGACTCACCTGGGAAGATGAACTGCTGTTTGTACTTGTAGTAGTGGGACGCTGGCAAAAGAATGAAAACACCGACGTGAGCACTGCTCCGAGCTGTCCCTGCAAGTAACAGATTGGGTTCCCACAGCCACCACACGGGTCCCCTGCCCACCCTCGAGGGGTTCCAGATTTCTGCAGACCTGAATGACAAGGGGCTGAGAGCATGTATAAAGGAAGCAGAGCTCTGGACATCCAAGCCAACCCTCCCACGGGCAGCTCCCGGAGAACAGAGAGTCACCCAGAGCACAATCCCATTTTTGTTAACTGCACAGGGACACATACACACAGAGAAAAGTCTGTGAAACCATAATCTAAAATAGTCATTTTTTCCCCTCTTTGATTACAGACGCTTTCAAAAAATCCTTTAGGACACAATGAGATATCATCTCACACCTGTTAAGATGTCTACTATCAAAAACAGAAAAGAGAAGTGTGGTGAGGGGAAGGAGAAAGGGGAAAGAGTGGGGTGCTGTGGGTAGGAATGCAAACTGGCACAGCCATTGGGGAAAACAGCATGGGGGTGCCACAAAAAAAAAATAGCACTACCACGTGATCCAGCTTCCGGGAATATATCCGAAGGAAATGAAATCACTATTCCTGGAACGATAATCTGCACCCCCGTGTTCACTGCAGCATTATTTACAAGAGCCAAGACATGGAAGCAACTCAAGGGTCCACTGATGGGTGAACGGATAAAGCAAATGGTACACGTACACACACACACACACACACAATACATGTACACATGTACATACAATGGAATGCCATTCAGTCTTAAAGAAAAGAAGGAAATCCTGCCATTTGCAACATGGATGGACCTCGAGGGCACCGTGCTAAGTGAATTAAGTCAGACAGAGAAAGATACTGTATGAGATCACGTAACATGCGGAATTTGAAAAAAAAAAGAATTCATAGAAACAACCAGATGGGTTAGGGAACAGGCTGAAGCCGGTCAAAAGGTACAGACTTCCAATCAGAAGACAAATGAAGTCCTGGCGAGGTAACGCACATCATAGTGACTACAGTTCACAATTACTGTTCTGTATCTTTGAAAGTTGCTGAGGGTATATCTTAAAAGTTCTCATCACAAGGAGGAAAATTTGTAACTGTGGGTGGTGACGGATAGAAACTTGGACTGTGGTGATCATTTCCCAGCACACATATGTACCAAATCATTACCTTGTGCGCCTTAAGCATATACAATGTTATATGTCAATTACATCTCCACAAAATTGGGAAACCATGCATTTCCTGTGTTTTTCAAATTTTCTACATTGAGCGTTGTATTAGTTTTCCTGTTGCTGCTGTAACAAATCATGACACACTTGGTGGCTTAAAATAGCACATTTATCTTCTTATAGTTCTGGAGGTCGGAGGTGCTGGAATAAGTCATAAGGGGCTAAAAGCAAGGTGTTGCCAGGGCTGGTTCTTTCCAGAAGCTCCAGAGGAGAATCCATGCCTTGCCTCTTCCAGCTGTTAGAGCCTGCCTGCGCTTCTTGGCTCTGAGCCGACTCTAGTCTCTGCTCCCCTTGTCCTGACATCACCTCCTACCGTCTCTGACCTTCTTGTCTCCCTCTTATAAGGACGCTTGTGGTTACATTTAGGATCCATCTGGATAATCCAGGGTAATCTTCCCACCTCAGGATCCATAACTCAATCATCCCTGCAAAGTCAAGTCACCTATAAAGTCACAGATCCACAGATTCTGGGGTTAGAGCGTGGGGAGTTTGGGGGTACCATTATTCTGCCTACCACAAGCATGGGTTAATTTCCGTATTTAGGGAAAAAAGAAATTTCCTCAACTTCACTGCTGATTCACCCACAATTCATTTTACTCCCAGTCCCAGGTCCGGACATCCCCGAGGTTCCTCATGTTACCCCTTACTCCTGTGGGGTGGAGGGCCTGGAGCAGGGGTGGGGGACAAGGGTATCGTGGGCAGTGGAGAGGCCACACTGAGCAGGAATGGGGTCAGATAGGGAGTCCAAACTGGTGAACGTGCTTCCAGAAACAATTTTATTACCTGCAGGGACGGGACTCACCAAGCTGACTCACCAAGCATTACTGCAGTGGTTCAGAGGCTGGGGCCAGGGGTTGACAAGCCATGGCCCAGGGGCCAAATCTGGACCATCACCTGCTTTTGTCCATAAAGTTTTACTGGAACACAGTCACATTCATTCATTTGCATGCTGTCTCTGGCTGCCGACATGCTATGACGTCAGAGCTGAATATTTGCAACAACAGAGACTAGATGGCCCACAACATCTAAAATATTACCATCTGGCCCCTGATAGAAAAAGTTTGTTGACTTCGGGTTTAAAGCAAAGATGAGCTGGACAGCAGGAGTAGGAGGCTGATCCTGTAGGGCTGAATCCTCACTCTTCCTTTGGCTGTTTGTAAAAGCTTGGGCAGCTCTCTCCGAGTCTCAGTTTCCACGGGATAATCACAGTCTTTCCCTCGCAGGGCTGAGATCATCATTCCATGAGATAAGAGTGCATAGTGGTGCTAAATAAGCATTCGCTGCAGCGAATAAGCCAATATCTTTCTAAGCTCTCTTCATAAACGGACAAGAATGATTTATAATTAAGAGAAAATCGGTTTCAAAGAGCGAAGTCATTAGCTGCCCCCGAGGCTGGAACCGATTTATTAACTCCCCAGGACGGAGAGGGGCCTGGTACCAGTGGGTGCACAACTCGTGTTTATTGAATTAATCAACTCTCTCCTAGCACAGCAATCCCCAAACATCCCAGATAGTTGGAATCCAAACGGATGCATTTCCTGATCCTGGAAAACGAGGTGCCCAGGGTGAGAAGCAACTCAGTCAAGGTCACAGAGCAAAGCTTTAAAACAAAACCAACCTCCAGGACTTCAAGGACCTTTCTTTCTTCTGTTAGAGAACTTAGGTTTTGTTTTTTGTTTTTTCATCGCACGCAGTCAACAAGAGGCTAAAATTAAAAAAGAGAAAACTACCCAGGGTTGTCAAGAAGCTCAGCTGATCTCCCCTCTTCGGTGTCTGCGGCAAAGGATAGCCAGCAGTGACATTCTTTTATGGAGCGGCAGCCGGGCGAGGGACAGCAAAACCCGCTCGGACGAGGGACAGGGGTCAGGCAAAGGGACACTGGCGAAGGTCTCCACGCACAGAGCCAGCCCCCTCCCTCCTCAACCCCTCCGTGTGCCAGAGAACAGCTTGTTCCTGATGAATCCGAGTGGCTCCTGACTCCCTGGCATTGACGAGGTCTTGGGAACTGGGAGTCCTCAGGTGGCTGGAGGCCAGAGAGATACACAGGCCACTTTGAAGCCACTTCACTTCTACCCCGAAACCCTCCTTCCCTCCTTCCTTCCCTAAGGCCTCCCCCCAAAGCAGCCTGGATCGTCTTCTAGAAGGAAGGATGGAGGGTAAGTCATCTTCTGCCTACACCCTTTAAATAAAATCTGGATTCCTGCCGTGGCCCTGCAAGGCCCGGCCAAGCCTCATCCCTGTAGCTCTGAGTCCTACCTGGTGCCACTTTCCCCTTATTCACGGCATTCGGGCCACGGGGACATTTTTGCAGCTCTTTCCTGCATGTGCAGGGCCTTTGCACATGCTCCCCTCCCTCTGCCCAGCCAACTCTCCCCCATCTTCAGAACTCAGACACCTCGGACCCTTCAACCTCAACTTGCTCTCCTCTTGAACTTGCTGTATGGCTGCTGTACCGCCGTTCTTTCCCTTCATGGCACTTGGTGCAACTCATTTCAGGTGTGCGTCTGTGTGGTTAACCCGTCTCTCCCGCGAAGCTATAGACTCCACGAGAACAGGGGCTGTGGCAGGCCGAGTGAGGCCGCTCTGCCCAAGACGTCCACAACCTAATCCCTGGCGACTGTGACTACATCCGCTTCCATGACAAGGGTCCTTCCAAGAGGGAGGCAGACGGGTCAGAGTTAGAGTCAGAGATGCGATCACGGAAACAGAGGTGGGAGTGCGGTGGAGCCGTGTGCAAAGGAAACGCAGGCAGCCGCTGGAGGCTGGGGAAAGGCAAGGAAGCGGATTCCTCCCTAGCACCTCAGGAGCAACCAGCCCTGTGGACACCAGTGAAACGGATTTTGGACTTGGGACCTCCATCACTGTAAGATAGCACTTCTGGGCTGTTTTTTCTTTTTAATATATGAAATTTATTGTCAAATTGTTTTCCATACAACACCCAGTGCTCATCCCAAAAGATACTTCTGGGCTCTTTTAAGCCACTAAGCTTGTGATGATTTGTTACGGCGGCCATTGGAAACTCAAACAGGGCATGTCTGGTGTGCATACGGCTCTATACCTAGTGCCTTGTATACCACGGGTACATAGTAGATGTTCAATAAACATGTCTTATGATGGATGCAGTCTGAGGGCCAGAAAACGACTTGAAGAGAAAAATCTGCAGCCTTGGGCAGTGCATGAATTTCAAGTCATTCACTCACTCATTCATTCATTCATTCATTCATTCGAAAAAACCCCATTTAATTAGTGCCTTAAGCTGTAGGCAAGGTGTTGGCCTTCAGGTGTAGAAGCATGAATGAAGCAGACATGTTTCCCAGTCTCACGAAGCTGATAATTCTGATTGTCACAGAGGACACGGACACTAAATAAGTTAATAAATGAACAAAATCATGGTAGGGAAGGAGCACTGTGGAGTATAAAGACGGAATCAGGGCAGAGTGAAGGGAGATAGGGGGTGTTGAAAGGGAGGAAGCACACCCACAAGCCACCTGCCATGTCAAACATGGCCCCAGAGTTCAGAAGCAAGTGGAGGAGAACAAGGAGGTCAATCATAAATCCTACCAAGCCTGTGCCTGACGCGCTTCGTTTTCCAACTAAAAACCCTTCTTCCGTGTGTCCTGAGGTCAACATGTGAGCCAGATGCCTGTTAACCCCATAGACCCTTCTGGAAAAGAATGTTCTAGGTATCAGTCAATGCTGAGAACATTATGATGCCTAGGTATTAGCCAGAATAGTCTTCAAAAACCCAACATTTGGCAGGGAACCATAACCACAGCTGCCTTTCCCATCAACAGAGGCTTGTAGTCAAGGGTGTGACGGGTGACTAGGACCTTGTGTGAACAAGACAGGCACTTGTCATTCTGAGGGAATTTTGCTAAAACCTCCTAAGTCAAGGGAGAAGGTCTGGCTGCTCTTCTGGAAGGTCCCATTTTGTTTTCCACTTCAACATTACATTTTGTGATTATTGTTCAATTATAAAACGGATGCGTTCCTTGGTACTCTATACACTGTAGCAATGCATAAAATAAAATTTTTCTTCTTAGAAACAGCTGCCAGGAAGTTCTTGCAGGCTTTTTTGTGCGTATACAAATAGACAAGTATATATACACATGCGTATAAACATACGACTATATATAATTATTTTAGAATAAATAGGATTTTATTATACTAACTGCTTTGCAAATCACTTGTTTTCCCACTTACAAGACATTGTAGATACCTTGCATGTCAGGATATCCACAAAGAACCACCCCATTCTTTTTAAGGGTGGCTGAATATTTGGTTATGTAGATATAGTACAGTGTATTCAACCATTCCTCTCTTGGTTGTATTTAACCATTCCCCACTTGGGTTGAGTCCAAAGTTTTCACTATCGCAATGAAATCCTTACGCACAGATCCCTGTACCCTATGCGAGCATATCTGTATATAAAGTCTTAGAAGTCATATCACTGGTCCACGGAATGTACCTATAAAACTTTGACAGACAATGTGAAATTACCTCCTCAAAAAGGATTAATTCGATCCCTGCTCTGAATGCCAGGGTATGGGAGGATTTCATCTTGATTTCCACAATTCGGATTACGCCCCTATTAATTAGCAGTGATGATGAGAAACGCCAGAAATGGTAGCCACGGCAACTTGTTATTCTTATGTTTATGTAATAATGGAACCAGCTGGCATGTGTCAAGACCTTCAGCGAGACACTCGCTCTGCTCAACCCGGTACATGTATGATGAGGTGTGGTCCTTCCACGATTCTATGGAGTAGATGCTTTTATCATTATCCCCATTTTACAGATGAGGAAACAGAGGCACAGAGAGGTAACTGGTTTGCTCCAGCACGATGCCGAGATTGAGCAGTAGAGCTGGGATTTCAACCGAAGCAGCCCAGCTCCAGAGCTCATACTCCTAACTGCTGTTCTAAAGTGCCTGCCCTCGGAGGACCCCTCAGCCCACACCCCAAATGACGTCACTGTCATGAGATGCTCTGGAGTAGGTGCGGATCGCTGGCAGGCTAGCAGCAAACGGGCAAGGACCCGTCCTTGGGGACCCTGCCCCAAAGAGTGAGGGAGCTAAGGGAAACAGTGATCACCCCGGGTTAGCCAGGTCTCTCACCAGCAGAGTCTTCTAGGGACATAAAGAGCTGTGGCACTCTGACATACAGGTCTCCCCTCAGAGGTCCCCTCCCAGCCCCTGGCCCATAAGGAAGCAGTGCAGCAGTTTCCGGGGAAATTCCCTGAAGTCAGTGTCTGGGAATGGGATGGAGCAGGGGTAAGAAAGCGCCCAGACCCGCTTCCCCCCAGGTTTGGGGCGGAGGGACGGTCATGGAGTGTCAAAGCGCCCTTCTTGCATTTGCCCCCTTCCAGTGAAGCAGAAATGGACCATCCTGCAGGTGGCAGGGGGAGCACCCAGTCCGTGGACACAGCAGGCGGTTTTGGCCTAATTGACTCTGGGAGGCACTCGCTGGAATGATTCCAGCTGGTGACTCACATTATGGTCCTTGCTGGCTGCCCAGTGAGTGAGTGGTCCTCATACCAGACAGATACAAGACTTCCTCAGGCTTGAACGTAACCAAAAAATCCCAATCTTGCAAGACTTCAAAATGTGCCCTCCTCCTATGGACTTAGCCCAGATCAAAACAGTGCGGGTAGGTGACAGCTTGTCCTTAAACGGGTAGTCGTATCTGGGTTTGGCCAGGTGTGGGTTTGGGCCTTCATCTGCCTACTGGTCATTCCGTCATGGCTGATGAGGCTTGGAAGTGTGACCCGTGACCGCAGGACCGGGGATTTTTCCCTCTGCATGAAACCTGCAGGCTTAGGTGGAAATCAGTCCCTAGATCAGCACTGTCCAGTGGAACTTTCAGCAATGATAAAAATGTTCTATGCTTGCACTGTCCAATATGGCAGCCACCAGCCACCAGTGGCTAATGGGTAATTAAAATGTGGCTACCGTGGCTGAGGAATTAAAATTTTAACTATATTTAATTTTAATTCATTTCAATTTAAACGGCCACAGGTGGCTAGAGAGTACCAGAGGGAACAACGCCGTTCTAGACTCTGGTTCCACGGCCAAGTCAGACCTCATCCCACCGGCCTCTTTCCTGACATCAGCTGTGGTGCTGCAAATATGGCTGAGCTGGAAAATCCTTAGGGCCCTAGAAGAGGAAGTGGGCTGGGCAGGACCTCAGAAGAGGTAGGAAGACTCTTAGGTCTGGCCCACCTGAGCAGAGAAAGATCTCTTTCTTAAGTCGAATGACAAAGGAGGCCAAGAAGCCAAAACATCTCATGAGTGGCTTCTCCAGCATCTCATAGCCCGGTGCACAGTCTCAGATCCACAGCTAGGTACTCTGGAATTTATGAGCTGGGAGAACCTTCTGGATCCTCTCATCCATCTCATCCTCTGAGATCAGATAAAGTAATATGTGGTGACTGACCTGAACATAGTAAGACTCACCCGCATCTCTTCAACCCATCGCCTTTAAGCGTGGACCGGCTGGACACGGCTCTGGTTCGAACCCAACCTCCCCCTCCTGCGGCCCCCGCGACTCCCCAAGTGCAAAGGTACCTGGCAGGTTGAAGTTCTTTTGCCTTGTGCACTGTGGGGAAGGGTGCAGGGGAGAAGGCGGCGTGGCACTGGGAGGCAGGGGGGGTGCTGGTGAGGAGGGCGTGGAGGACGTCGTGGATGAGGGGTTGCTGCTCGAGTCCGGCTGGTAAGGGACAGGGATGTGGTCCTGCGGAAAGAAAACAGGGCAGGGGACAGGGGCAGGCACAGATGCAGAGACATGTGAGTGAGAGTGAGCAAGCAGGAAGGAACCCCACCCCGGCATCCTTAGTCCCCCCCTTTCCTCAGCCACCAGAACCTTCCAAAGTCCCACCTGCTTCATCATCCCCACCTGCAAGCTGGGTTGCATCCAGCTGTGGAAGGAACAGTTTCTGGCATCAATTTCCTGTCCGCTGTTTGGACTCCGGACTGAAAGGTTACCACATAATGAAAGCCACGGAGGCGACAGCCAAGCTCCCTGTGCCTTTTTGATTTTGGAAAGTCCCACGCCGAGGTGCCCAGAGTGCTCTTTCCATCCTAACACCTCTCCTCCCAAGTGTTTATTAAAGAATCGACAGCCTGGCCGCTCCAGAGAGAACGCGAAAGCATCTTCCCTCACGTGTCAGGCGGAGCCGGCGTGGCCTCTGCTGGGCCCCGAACCTGCTCTAAGCAAACCCGAAGACGGAACCCCCGCGTGCACCCTCAGAAGGGCCCTGGTGGCGGTGGGATCGGGAGCAGGGTAGTGGCTTGAATGGTGTCCCTCAAAAGACCTGCCCCCTGGGAAACTCAGAAAGTGAGCCTATCTGGAAAAAGGTCTTTGCAGATGTCATTAAGGTACAGATCTCAAGAGGAGATCACTCTGGATTCAGGTGGGTCCTGAATCCCATTCCAGGTGCCCTTATAAGAAATGGAAAATGAGACACACACACAGAGGAAAAGACCCCATGAAGACAGAGATAGAGACTGGATTGTCGCATCTATAAGCCAAGGAACACTTAGGATTGCCAGAGCCACCAGAGGTTAGGGAAGAGGCATGGAATGGATCCTCGCTCAGAGCCTCGAAAAGGAACCAATCCCACACTAACACCTTGATTTCGGACTTCTGGCCTCCAGAACTGCGAGGGGAAAAAAGGCCTGTTGTTTAAGCTGCCCAGTTTGTGGTCATTTGTTAAGGCAGCCCCAGGAAACTAAAACCAGCAGGAGCCCGAGTCAGGCAAACCCAGATTCAAATCCCATAGCCACCCCTTCCCCATACATTCTGGACGAAACGCTTAACCTCTCCATCCCTCAGTTTCGCCTCCTGTAAAGTGGGAATAATGCCAGCAAACCTCAACATCATATAAAAGGGATTCCTGCCTCTCAATCCCAGCATCGCTGGAACTTTAATCTGTCCACTCACAAGACAGTGGTCACTTGGTCCCTCTATTACTCAGAGGTCCATCACTCTGACTGGTTCCGGGTGCCTGGGGATGGTTTTGTAGGACCTGGTTATTTTACAACAGGTACGTTTACCTGCCAAACTCCAGAGTCAGTGTGAGAAACACCAACCAGCATAGGAGGGCAAGAAGGGGGACAGGAAACGGGCATTCTCCATCAGATGCCCAATGGGTGCCTATGCTGTGATGTCACCCTCCCAGAGCCCACTCACTCCCCCTGCCTCCAAGTAAGTGACTTCACTTCTGGGAATTTCGGTCTCTCCTTGTCCCTCACACGGGGTAAGAACACCCACCTGCTGGGTCCGCTGTGAAGTTTCAATGAGGTTATGAATGTACCTACACCCCTCCCACTGGGCTGAGGCACTTTGTCGTCAACCAATGGTTGTGATTATGTTGACGACATAATTTGCAATTGAGCTTTTTATTTGGGATAATTGTGGATTCACATGCAGTTTCTTTAAAGTTTATTTCTTGGGGGTGGGTGGGTAGAGAGAGAATCCCAAGCCACCTCTGCACTGTCAGCACAGAGCCCAACGTGGGGCTCGATCTCATGAACCGTGAGATCATGACCTGAGCCAAAACCAAGAGTTGGACGCTTGACTGAGCCACTCAGGTGCCCCCATACGCAGTTTTAAGAAGTAGTAGAGATCTGGGGTGCCTGGGTGGCTCAGTCAGTTGAGCGTCCAACTTCAGTTCAGGTCCTCATCTTGGGGTTTGTGAGTTTGAGTCCCGCATCAGTCTCTGTGCTGACAGCTCAGAGCCTGGAATCTGCTTTGGATTCTGTGTCTCCCTCTCTCTGCCTCTCCCCCACTTGCATTCTGTCTCCCTCAAAAATAAATAAATTGTTGGGGCGCCTGGGTGGCACAGTCGGTTAAGCGTCCGACTTCAGCCAGGTCATGATCTCGCGGTCCGTGAGTTCGAGCCCCGCGTCAGGCTCTGGGTTGATGGCTCAGAGCCTGGAGCCTGTTTCCGATTCTGCGTCTCCCTCTCTCTCTGCCCCTCCCCCGTTCACGCTCTGTCTCTCTCTGTCCCAAAAATAAATAAAACGTTGAAAAAAAATTTAAAAAAAATTGTTTTTCAAAAAAAGAAGTAACGGAGATCTCATGCAGACTTCACCAGCTTTCTCTGATGTTTGCATCTTGCAAAATGATAGCACAATATCACAACACAGATGGCGAGCAGATACAGTCCACATACAGAACATTTCCACCACCCCAGGGACCCCTCATGTTGTGCTTTTATAGCCACCCCACTTCCTTCTCTGTCTCCTCACATGCCTCCCTCCCATCTGTAACCCATGGCACCACTAATCTGTTCCCCATTTCTAGAATTTTGTCATTTCAAGAATGCCCTGTGCCTGGAATCATCCAGTATGGAACCTTTTTGGATTGGCGCTTTTTTTTCCCCACTCAGAAAAACTATCTGGAGATGCATCCAAGTTGTTGAATATATCAATAGTTTGTTCCTTTTGATGGCTGAGTAGTATTTCATCACATGGATGTACCACAGTGTGTGTGACCATTCGCCCATTGAGGGACAGCTGGGTTGTTTCCCCTCTGTGGCTACTGTGGATAAAGCTTCTATGAACATTCAGCTATAGGTTTTGTATGAACAAATGTTTATTTCTCTGGGATAAATGCCCAGGAGTGCAATTTCTTGACAGCACATTAACTGCTATGCTTAGTTTCAGTTTTGTATTTTTGTATTTTTATATTTTAATGTTTATGTATTTCTGAGAGAGAGACAGAGAGTGAGTGGGGGGAGAGGCAGAGAAGAGGAGACGCAGAATCCGAAACAGGCTCCAGGCTCCAAGCTGTCAGCACAGAGCCCGACAGGAGGCTTGAACTCATGAACTGCGAGATCACGACCTGAGCCGAAGTTGACTGCCCAACTGACTAAGCCACCCAGGCACCCCAGTCATGTTTAGTTTTTACAGAAGATGCGAAAACCATTCTCCAGAATGGGTACACTATTTTACACCAACAATGTATGAGTGACTGATTTTCTCTGCATCCGAGCCAATGTTTGGTATTGTCACTATTTTTTATTTTAGCCATTCTGATAGTACAGTGACATTTCACAGTAGTTTTAATTTGCATTTTAATGGCTAATGATATTGAACATCTTTTCATGTGTTTACTTGCCATCTGTATATCCTCTTTGGTCTTGATTACTGTTAGCTATATAATAAGCTTTGAATTTGGGCAGACTGATTCCTCCCACGTTATTCTTTTTCAAAACTGTTTTTAGTTATTCAAGTTCCTTTGCCTTTTCATATAACATTTAGAATAATTTTGTCTTCATCTACAAAAAAAATATTTTGCTGGGATTTTGATAGGAACTGGGCATCAATTTTGAGGAGAACTGACATCCTAACTATGTTGCATCTTCCAATCCATGAACATGGTATGCGTATCAGCTTCTAAATCAGAAAAACGGGAACAGGGGTTTATGTCTTTTGCCCATTTTGAGAAGTTTTTGCCCATTATTTCTTGGGAGAATTTTTTCAGCCCTACCCTCTTTATTCTTTCCTTCAGCACTCTGATGACACCAATGTTGGACCTTTTATTATTGTCCCAAGGGTCCCTGAGGCCCTACTCATTTTTTTTTTTTAGTCAACTGTCTTTCTGTTATCCAGACCGTGTAATTTATACTGTTGTATCTTCAAGCTCACATATTCCTTCCTCTGTCCCTCCATTCTGTCACTGAGTCTCCCCACTGAGTTTTTACTTTTAATTATTGCATTTCCGAGTTATATGTTCTGAAATTTTCATATGGTTCCTCTTTATATCTTCTATTCATTTGCTGAGACTTTGTATTTCTTTGCAGTGATTTCCTACCTTTTTCGTGTGTTTCAAGAGTGTTTGTAATTGCTTGCTGAAATAGTTTTATGACTGCTCTAACAATCTCTGTCAGATAATTCTGAAATCTCGCTTGTCTCAGTGTTGGCATCTATGGGTTGTCTTTTTTCATTCAGTTTGAGATCTTTCTGGCTCTTGGTGTGACAAGTGATTTTTCACTGAAGCCTGGACATCTGGGTATTAAGTTGTGAGACTCTGGGTCTTACTTAAACCTTTGGCTTTAGCTGGCTTCCCGTGATCCTGCCCTAGCAGGGAAGAGGGCATGTGCTGTCTTGTTATTCCCAGGTAGGGCCAGATGCCTAGGCCCTCTGCCTCTGTCGGCACCGGAGGACAGGAGGGGCTCCTAATTGTTGCTGGGTGGGGTGGGAATTCCAGCCCCTTCATAGGCCTCCACTGACACGCACTTTCTGGGAGAGGTACTATTTCTACTAAGAGGTACTATTACCATTCCCCATGTAGCCTTCACTGACACCAAGCACAACAGAGTAGCCTCATTATTTGGGTGGTGGTAAAAGTTCTGACTCTCCACTAGGCTTCCACTGACCCTACCTCATCAGGCAGGGGTGCTACATTATTGCTGGATGAGGGGGCTCACAGTCCCCAACACCAACCAGGCCACTTCACATCTTCAAGGCTTGGAACATGCTGTTATTTTCACTTGGAATATCTGTCCATCCCTAGTCTGCCTAGAAAACACAGTTCACAGCTCCCCTCCTCTGGGAAGTTCCCCTGACCCCCTGCTCCACCAGGTCAAGCACATCATTCACTCCTGGTGCTGGCTCTTCCCACTCACTCGGCTTCAGCTGCTTCTACCCAGTCGCTTCTCAGCCCACTTGTCTGTTTTGCCCTCTAGGCTGGGAGCTCCATATTCCCAGCCACAGTGTGGTCCTTAAATAGATGGGTGCTAGATGAAGGAAAACAAGAAAGAAATGAAGGGAGGGAGACTTGGAGGTATGGAGAGAAGGAGAGAGGGAGGGAAAGGTATATCTCTTCCTACTAGACGGTGTCTTATTCATCTTGGAATCTGCAGAACTTAGCACAGAAACAAAAACATAAGAGGTAGTAATAAGTGTTATATGAATGAGTGAATTAACAGAAAAGAAGGAGGATTGGAATGAGGAATTGCATTTATGGAGCAAGGAATTATCTCTACCTCCTTGAGGGAAGGATTTAGATCTTTCTCATCTCTGTAGCTCAGGGCTGATGTGAATAAACAGAATCATCTCAAGAGACAGCTGCATATGGTGCCCACATTCCTTGGCCAAATTGCTACAACAGGAGGGGAAATTCCTTCTTTGGGTCAGACCGAGATCTATGGCCCAATGGGACCAGCCACGGGAGGTTGCATTCCATCGAGGGAAACTCAAACTCAAATCAGATCATTCCAGGAAGGGCTAGTGGCATAATTCCTCTTTCAGAGCACAGCTAAGATACAGAAGCATCCTTCAGAGACCTCCCAGTCCAAATCCTTATTCTGTAGATGGGGACACTGGGACTCGGAGAGGGGGAGTGACTTACTGGTGTCATACAGAGAGTTAGTGGCCTGGGTCCTTACCCCCAGCCCAGCAGCAGAAGCACAAGGTTGTCCCAAGTCACAAGAAACTCACATCTGACTCTGGGAATTGAACAAAAGCATGCTTATCTCCCATGTTCCCATTCCATTCCACCCAGTTGAGCACTGATCTGGACATGGTGGTGACGGTAACTGCCTCTCTCATGGACTTTTCCTAAGGAAACTGTCGCTACCCTCCAACCCAATAGACTGTGGTGAACAGACAGTCCTAAACAACCACACTTGTCTTGTGACCTCCACGGCCCACCCCCAACACAGGACCACAGGTCCAAACAAGATGGCAGCTGGCCCAGGACCATGATATGGAATGAAAAGATGAGCTGGCCAACAGCATCAGGCGCACAGGCAGAGACGAGATGAGGTTCAAAGAGAACAGAAGAGCCACGACAGGCCAGAAAACAAAGAAGCCAAGGTTATGAGAAATACATGGAGGCAGAAGCAATGACATGGAGAAGAGGGGAAGGTAGAGGATGAGACCAGTCAGCAGTAACAGACTGGAGCAGACCCAAGAAGAGCAGCTGAGTCACAATCATGATGGAAGAACAGGACAGTGATCCACGGTCCTGCTGGAGGTCCATGGAGCTGGCCCGAGTGCAAGGCCAACTGGAAAGGGCAAGCCGGCACGCAGCCATTTTGAATAGAGTCACTACAGCAGGTGCATCTTCAGCCTTGGACACCACTGCAGATGGGGTTCTGATGCCTTGACCTGGAGGGACAAAGGCTATAGCCTGGTCCCCCAAGGAGCTGGCAGATACTGCCGTTTCTTCTTCTCCTCTGCCTCCTCCCCCTCCCCCTCCTCCCTCTTCCTCTTTCTGCCTCCTCTTCCTCCTTCCGTTCCTCTTTCCCCCATCAAGCCATTCCCTGCCCTGACCATCCAGGGTCAGACTAAATCCTTGACGCCTATCACTGAATCTACTCCTTTCCACAGTCCCAGTCATAGCTGCTATTGTGCTGCCCCTTTAATGGGGGAGGAGGGGAAGGAACCAAGGTAGAGAGAGCTTGCTATGACCACACAGTCAGTGAAGGAACGAAGTTCGAAGGCTGGGCCTTCTGACTCCAAAACGCACACTCTAACTAACCATTACGTCGGGAGAAAAAGCTGGGCTTTTGTGAACTTGGATTGACTGAGCCAGACAGGAGAGGAGACAGAGCAATGAAAAGGAAGCCTTCAGACCAAATTGGCTCAGAAATCTATTGCACTAACCACATCATTGCCTGACAAAAAGAATCTGTGTGAAGCCAGTGAGAAGAGAAAGAGAGGAAAAAATAACCCGGCCCTGTGATAGATCCTGTCCACCTTCAAGTCAAAGCTGCTTTCTAAATAGAGGTTAATTTATTTCTCTTATCAAATTCTCCCGCTGGCAGACAAGCAGAACAATGTCACAGTCACTGATCTAGCTGACCCGTGTTTCTGTCCCATCTGATCAAGAGGCTCAGTATGCTGGCAAAGCCAGAGAGGAAGGTCTCGAGATGCTCTGAGCAGCTCGCCCCCTAAGATGTCACAAAGAAAAGGATGGGTTCTCTAGACATGCACAGTTACTTCTTAGGAACCGTACCATTTGAGCCTCCTAAGCACCCCCAGAGGTGGGGATCCCTTCTTCTAGAGACCTATACGTATCTTATGCAAATAACAAAGAAAAAGTGGACCCGACCTAAGATCTGGATTGGAAACCCAAGATTTAAGCTGAAAACAGTATCTAGAATTTTCTGGATGCTTAACATGTGCCATGAACCGTACTAGATGCTTGTATGTGGATTACTTCATTTCATCCCCAAGACAACTCTCTGAGGCTGGTGCTCTTATTATAGCCACCGTGGACATTTTAAAACGTGGCCTCAAATTCCTTGGGACTCCTCCCATCGGCAGGTGGTTTCTACGCCTCTTCCCCTTGAATCTGAGCAGGAACGCGACAGCCCCCGTCAGTATGACAGAGCAGAACTGATACTACCGATCCTTGGCTAGTGACAAGTCAAGACAACACACCAAGGTAATGCTAAGTTACAAAAGCCCAGGCAACTTCTGCCTTGTTGCTCAGTTGCTCGTCAAGCCCTGAGCTGCCAGGTGAGAAGCCCGAGCACCCTGAAGCCGCCATATTGTGAAGAAGCCCAAACCATAAGGCAAGTCCGCATGTAGATGCTTCCGCTGGGTCTCCGCTGAACCCGGTCTCTGATGCACCACAGGCAGACACTAGACAGGTGACTGATGACGACTCTAGCTCAGAGGCTGGCATGCTTTTTCTTAACATGGCCAAATAGCAAATATTTTAGGCTTTGTGAGCCATGTGGTTCCCGTTGGAACCACTCAATTCTCAATCATAGTGTGAAAGCAGCTGTGGACAATATGGGTGTGGCTCATGCCAATATAACTTTATTCACAAAAACAGGTGCAGGTGCTGGGCTGGTTTGGCCTGTGAGCCATGGTGTGCCAATCTCTGCTCTAGAAGATTCCAGCCCCCAGCTGTGTAAGGTTTCCCAGTTCAGTCCCCACAGTTTCCAGGAACATAATTAAAAGGCTGTCGTGCTCCACTAAGTTTGAGGGGCTTTGCTGTGCAGCAGTAGATAACTGGAACGTACCCATTTCATATACAGGAAAACTGAGGCCAAGAGAAATTAGTGGCCTGCCCTGAGGCTCACCGCTAGTAAGTGGGAGAAGCCAGGGCTGACTGCAAGGTTCGCCTGCCTTCAGAGGCCAAGCTCTCAACTGCTTAGATGACGCCACAAGGAGCCAGATGGTGAATGGCTGAGAGCTAGTAGTAAAAACGGTGGGTGATAGTGTGTGAGAGAAAGAACATATGGGCTTTGGTGGGGAGACGTACAAGGGGAGGTCAGAGACGGAGCGAGGGACCAAATTAGGCACGGTCTTGCAGGCTGCAGAAGGGGCTTGATTTGTTTTCTCAATGCAGTAAAGAGCCACTGGGTGGTTTTGAGGCAGAGGGGGACAGGATTCAAATTGCATTCATTAGGAATCACTCTGGGTGCTGTCTGGAGGATGGACTGGGGAGAAGCAATACTCTCTCCAGCCTTATGCAGAGAAGCTAGACAGAGCCTTGCCAGTGAGAGGTCACCGAGCCATCGTGACGCTCATCTGGGTCCTGAACACAGGTGGTGACTTCCCACACGCTTGGATTGATTTGCACTTTACCCACCTTCAACACGGTGCACAGAAGCACTGGGGAGTTTGAGAAATCACCTGTTGGCACGTGCAGGCTTTGCCTCCCACCATAAGGCTGCAAGTGTCCCTGGGAAGGTTCTGGTGCAGTCCAACCAACAGACCAAACACATGGAAATCACGCTGGAAATTTCCATGCCACAGTGGACAGGTGCATAGAGAGGCTGACCATCTGAGGACCAGCCAGAAGTCAATCAAACTGGCTGAGGCTCAGAGCTTGCCTCCCCCCCCCCCCACCCCCCACATATCCATCTATCTAGTCTCTAGCAGGAGCTCAAAAAACAGTCTTCCGTCCCTTGGTGGTCCGATTCAACAGATATGTCAACCCAGCCATCTGCAAGGTTAATCCCGGCAGGTTGGCAAAACATCTCACAGAGCAAAGGGAGCTGGGTCTGGATCACTCAGGAATCCTGCTTAGACTCTCCCGCAATCCCTACTGCTCCCTCCTCGACACATTCATTCATTCTCATTTCCGTGTGCCCTCTCTCTAAATTGAGACAGATTTCTGGCACACTCACTCTCCACGGAGGGCTGGATGCCCCCTAAGCTTTCCTTACACAAACCACATGGAGCGAGGAGAGCCCAGGTGGGCTGGGAGGTGAGGGTTTCCAGAGCAATTTGCTCAAGCCCCCCTCCCCGCCCCTCCCAGGCAGCGGCAGCCCCAGCAGACCCCGACCCAGCAGGACCCCGCCCTCACCTTGCTGATCTTGTTGGTTTTGGGGAGCGTCTGGCTGATGTGCAGGTCCGAATACCGGGGTGGCTTTCGTAGAGGGTTGTTGATGTCACACGGGACGGACTCTGTCCGGACCAACCTTGCTGGATCCGTAGGGGTAAAAACAGCAATTTGGGAGTTTAAGTACCGCTTCGTGTTAAACCGTTCTGCCAGGAAAGCCTAGCTCAGACCCCATCTCGAAGGCCTGCCCCCAGGATGGGAAGGGAATCCTCCAAAAACGATAGTTGTCAGGTCATGGCGTTAAGATCAGGTGTCCTTTGTGCTTTCTAGAATGTTTATGGTGTTAAGAAATGACTTGACAGCTGTACATCTTGATAATGAAGCCGAAGCTATCCATTTGTTTTCGATACCATAATTGTTTCACGGGGGCATCATTTCAGAATTGACCCTCCTGTGAAATACAAGAGGTTCCTGATTCCTTAAGATCTACAATCAATGGATAAGCTCAGAATGACCACCTGTCCTTGCCTCCATCTAACCTTTGTGTTGGGATCCTCTTTCGTCATTTGTGGGATTTCTCAGGCCCGGGCAGCCTGCTGCGTGTCAAAACACGTTTGTCCTAAACAAGGCCACAGGGATCCCTGAAAGGAAGGCTTAGTATCTGCAGACCTCCCCTCAATGTCCTCCCTGAAGCCGCACAAAAAGCTGGGCACACAGCTGATGCTAAATAAATCCAAACGATGTCATCCAAGCTTCTCTTCCCGTCACCCCTCTCGCATTATCACTTCTTATAGGGACCACAGGGAGGGGCAAATTGAGGAGCTCAAATTCAAATCTGATGCCTGGCAGTGTGACTTGTTAGCTGTTTTGTGTTGCGGGGGGGGGGGGGCAGTGTTGGTGGAGAAGTTAAAGCTTTGGACTGACCCAGGAATTTAATTTTTCTGCTTAGCCTGAGCTGCCATCTCCATGGAAACCAACTATATTTTAAACTTCCTACCAACAAGGGTGGGGGATGGGGGGAAAGCAAGACGCTGGAGGACTTCTGGCAAGTTCCACTGGCTTTGCATGTACGGGCACCTGCTGCCTCTGAGCAAAGGGGGCACGGCCATGAAGGCAGCACGTAGGGAGCCTTTCTTCAGGTGTCAGCTTCTGGAAGCGGGTCACCTTGCAGCTGGCTGGTTCTGGTCTCCGCATGGGAGTTGGACTCCGGCAAAGACCACTAGGAGGTGGTTTCCCCAGTGAAGCTGACCCAAGCAAGACAAAGGGTCAAGAGCTGTGAGAATTCAGCTTTAAAAAATAGCCTCACTGAGCATATACAGTTGTGCAAGGAACAGATGGTTCTTAATTAAGGATGGGTGGGAAGGGGCAGGAGGGCTGAAGACTTTTCCTTCCCGTGCAATTTCCTCCCCTCGTGGAGGTAGGCAATGCAAAGATCATCGAAAACCAACGGCCCAATGGCTTTGGAACACATCCCAAGGCTTTCGGCAGCAATTTGCTTCCTTCTTTGAGTTTCCCTTGGGCTCATTCTAAATCGGGGCAGATTCCCTGGAGCGTGCATTGACCAAGGCCAGGGGAGCTGGGAGGGGCATAGCAGGGACAAGGAGGGACTCCGTCTCACATCGGCAGGTTGTGTACCTCAACATCGGCTCCAAGGCTCCAGCCAACCTATAGATGGGAGGGTGGGAGGGCAGGGAATTGGCCAGCAAGAATTTTAAAACTGTAGTAAGTCGCTAATGTCTGAAAATAATACAACTATGTGGGCTTTTCTTTGAAACATGAGGAAAAATTCAGGTCCATGTTGTTTCTATCATTGCTGGAGTGGCTGTCCTCTCTAGATGGTGCCTGGGCTCCCCTTCCACTTTGCATGGCCCCACCTGGCCACCTTCTCTTATTTAGGATCCTGGTTTGGCCCTGGAAGGGACCTGAGTTTGCAACCTGTACCCTAGAGTCTTGCCTCTTAAGGGGCAGAGGAACTGCCCACAGATTCAGTTAAAAATGCAGATTTTGATTCAGTAGGTCTCCTGTACATTGAATAGCAGAGGTCAGAACCAGTGATATCCAACAGAACTTTCTGTGATGATGAAAGTGTTGGTTGTCTGCACTATCCAATATGGTAGCCACCACCTGTGGCTACTGAGCCCTTAAAACGTGGCTGGTGTGACAGAATAATGGAATTTTTATTTTTATTTCATTTAAATTAATCTAAATCTAAATAGCCAGGTGTGGTTAGCAGCTACTGTATTGAACAGCACAGGCCCAGAGAGTCCCCTGGTGAATGAATTGTAACGTAGATAACAGAAGCCAGAGATAACTCCCCCATGAGACAAGAATCAGGGGAACTATTTTGAAAGCTGGACTACAAGGTTGCCCCAGTTGAGTCCCTGGCAGGTAGGGAAAAGCCTTTCCTTCTAGTCTTTCCTTCGCACTAAATTGGTCTTGCTTTTTGTGCAAGATACAAGGCTGGCCACGGCTCTCCCAAGGGCAGCTGTTACCTCGCTGCTTGGACAGGTTGGCCAGGACACTCCCAGAGCCCCAGGGGACAGAACACAGATGGCCCAAAACCAACAGACCCAAGCCCGACCCTTCCCATGCCCACCTCTGCGGGGCCAAATGACCCAGTCTAGAGAGCATGTGAGAGGAAACACTCAGCCAGCACTCTTTTTAAGGGGGAAGGAAAAGCAGTGAGATTAGCGGGGAAAGAGAGGAGAGTGGAAATTAGGAGAGCAGACAAGAATGAGAGAAGAAGAGTTAGGAAGGGGGAGGTAAATCTGGGGACTAAAGTATCAGAGAGACCAGGAGCGGGGCAAGGAACAGGGAGAACAGGCACAGGGAATGGATGAAGGGGACAGATGGCAGGAAGAAGAGCATCAGAAAGGAACAAATTGGCAAATATCGGGGGATTAAGAGGTACACAGAAATGGCCTGGATGGGACAGCTATCTCAGAGGGCCTGCAGGAGCCCCTGCGCCACCCTACCCCTAGGGCACCAAGTGTTAAATACTTACCTCCTCTGTGGATGATCAGGAGATGACAGGGTGGGGCTTCTTTGGTGCATTTGTTGTGGCACTTTAACCTGAGAGAGAGAAAGACAGAGAAGGATGGAAAGATGGGTGGCTGGGAGGCTGGGTGGGTGGGTGGATGGACTGGTGGGGGAGTGGGTGGATGGGTGGATGGATGGGTGGGTGGATGGGTTGGTGGATGGATGGATGGATGGATGGATGGATG